GCTTACCTTGGCTATGGTACTGTAGTTGCTATAGTAACGCTGACACAATACTATAGCTGCCACAGTAACAATGGGTCCCTCTTTCCTATTTGATTTCTTACTTTATCTACCACCTTTCATTTCTATTACAATTTTAAATTCCTTCCTTTCCCACCACCGCGTTTTTATTTATTGTCTATTCTTCTATTTGCCTAATCTATCTACTAACCCCCACTTATTTATATATGTTGTTTGCTATAGTTAGGCCAGTTTTTTCTGAGTGTAGATTTTTTAGTGTTGTCTTTGAGGTGTTCTTCTCCTTTGGGGATTGTATCCGACGACGAGAAGGCACTCCAAGGGTCCAAGTGGCAATTCACTTGTAGGTCGACCCCGATGAGATATGTATCCTTCTGCAGCCCCCTCTGGCCCCGCTTTCAACAGCCGCAAACTATCTGCTCCACTGCTGCACCAGCCTTCCAGCCACCTACCTGTTGTCCATGCCTCGCACCGACCACCCCAATCACCTTTTCTATTGTTGTTCACCGCCTCCAGCTGCTATCCTATAGCTGCCATCCCATCCTGCATCTTCCAGGTTGTTGTCCGTTCCACCGGCGACATCTTTTAGGTTGCTCTTGACCACCACCGACATCTTTTAAGTTGTTTTCCATCTTCTCCAACACATCTCAGTAGACTGCCCTTCCTCCAGCTCCCATCCGGCAGGCCACCGACCATCTCCAACACATTCCAGCAGGTTGCCTTGCTGCCGCCAACATCCTCACCCACTGTCATAGCCCTAATTGGAGTCTATATGGTGTGTCTTTATGATTGTGTTCCCATTTTTGGTGTCATTTTTTTCCATTCAGAGAGTCTTTATATTTAATCATTCGAATTTAGCAAAACTATTATTATTTTCGTTGTGGTTTGGGCTTTCCTCTGGTATCAGGTGTTACATTAGGGAGAGTAGATTCGAAGAAGAAATAGATAAACAAATCCCCTAATTATGAAAAAGAGTTGGAAATTTTCACATCATTACAAGTATTGATAAAATTAATAAAATATTCATATTCATTGTACTCATGAAAACATTAGCGCATGTTTTAAAATATTTTATATATTACAATCACACTAAAAGTTGAACGCATGATTCAAATGATTGAAATAAATTAAATGAAAATTAAAACACATAAGTCAACCAAAAAAGTCACCTCCTTAATGATATTATCTGGAGATGCTTTTGTACTCGTGCATAAAATATAGAAAATCTTTGGAAAAAAATGAAAATGTACATATCTTATTGGTACAATAGTTTTGGCAAATGTTTAAAATGAAATGCAAATGTTTAAACGTTTTAATAAAATAAAATGTTAATGTGGAATCATTTTTAAACATGCAAAATTGGGCATATGCATAAAAAAATTAGCATACTATAAAACTGCAGTTATACACAAATTTGTTTTATGCTTAACTAGTTGTTTTATTTTCATTACAGGAAAAGCTCCATTACATTAAATGATGGAATATTGCGAGAATTTGTATATAGTAGATGAGTGATTGAAAATAGGTAAAATGAACTGTAGTTTGTTTTAAAAATTCTCATTAAAATTATTGTATGAACTTGATTTTTATATGTAAGTTGGATGTGAATTAAAAATAGATGTTTAGTGCCTCAAAACTATTTAGATGATATTTTGGATTGTTGTAAATGTTTAATTAATATGACTATCGTCCGACAGCTTGTTCCCGCCTCAGTAATTCCGAACTCTTAAGCCAAGTCAAGGCAATATATGTTTCAAAATAATTGAAAAGTTAAAATAGTGAGAAATCATTTTAGAAGATTGAGGACTTTGGATTATATCGGGCAGGCTTTAAGGAAGTTGAGGAGGCTTTAAAGAAAACCAAGGATGGAAAATCTGTAGGACCTGATGATATCCCAATTGAAGTGTAGAAATATTTGAGAGATTTGGGATTTTCTTAGCTTACTAAACTCATCAATATTATTTTAAAAATTAAAAATATGTCTGAGGAGTGGAGGAAGAATATTTTGGTCCCCGTTTTCAAGAATAAAAGGGATGCACAAGAGTGTGCAAATTATAGAGGAATTAAGTTGATGTGTCATACTTTAAAGTTATGGGAGAGGGTAATTGAACATAGGTTAAGACGCATCACAAAGATTTCTCATAATCAATTTGGATTTATGCCGGGCAAGTCTACAATGGAAGCTATACATTTATTGAGAGGTTTGATGGAGAAGTTCAGAGATAATAAGGAGAATCTACATTTGATTTTTATTGATTTAGAAAAAGCTTAAGATAAGGTTACAAGAGATATCCTTTGGAGAGTTATTGAGAGGAAAGGTGCTGATACGACTTATATTCAAGTCATTAAAGATATGTATACTAGAGCTGTTACTTGTGTTCAAACTGAAGGAGGATTGACAAAATATTTTCCTATTTCTGTTGGTTTACATCAGGGATCGACTTTAAGCCCATATCTTTTTGCTTTAGTTATGGATGGTCTTACTGGACATCTACATTGAATTATGGAGGTCTACATTGGAGTCTAAAGGCCTTCATTTAAGTAGAACTAAAACTGAATACATGGAATGTAATTTTAGTAGTAATAGCTCTAGTGACAGAAGTGTGACTTTAGGTGATCAAATTATTAAAATGTGTGAACGATTTAGATATCTTGGGTACATTGTTCAAAGCGATGGTGATATAGATGGGGATGTTAATAGTAGAATTCATGTTGGTTGGTTGAAGTGGAGGAATGCTTCGGGCCTTTTGTGTGATAGAAAAGTACCGCTTAGACTGAAAGGAAAATTTTATAAGACAGTGGTGAGACCTGCAATGCTATATGGTGTTGAATGTTGGCCTTTAACAGAGAACATGATAATAAGTTGAGTGTTGTCGGGATAAGAATGATTAGGTGGATGAGTGGCTTTACTCTTGGAGACATAATGCGAAATGAATATATCCGTGATAGGGTTGGTGTAGCTCCTGTGATGGACAAAATTAGAGAAAGTCGTCTTAGATGGTTTGGTCACATTAAACGTCGACCATCTGATGATCCGATTAGGAGAGTAGATGTTTTAGATTCGACTTGTCTTAAGAAAGGCAGAGGTAGACCTAGGAAAACTTGGGCTTATTGTATTAAAAATGATCTTAATTTACTAGAACTAAATGAAAATATGACACTAAATAGGACGCAATGGAGAAAAAGGATTCATGCAGCCGACCCCACGTAGTGGGATTAAGGCTTTGTTGTTGTTGTTGTTGTTGTTGAGGACTTTGGATTAGTAAGAAAAAGTATCATGTGTTAAAAAATGGAAAAATTGTTAATCATTTAATAAAGTTATTGAAAGACCCGTTGATATTAGATGTAAACATGTAATAGATTTTATTATATTGGAAATGAGGATAAATATAAGAATATAGATTCCACAAGTAAAATTATGGGAGCATAAAGAAGAGTTTTAAGAGTCCAATGTTACTCATCTTTCTCATATATAAATAGTTCTCTTCGCTCTAGGATGTTCATAAAAAAAAAGAGTCAATGAATAACATGAAAATCTAAACAAATATTGTAAACTATAATTAGAGCATTTATGCTATAACGATTCGAACAAGCAACAAAAAAGTCATAAATAATTAAATTTAGTCTAATTGAACTAAAATGTTAATAAGAATGCGGAAAAATTAAGAAGAATGATTGAGAAATGAAATATTGGAGAAAAAATAAGATAGTGGAATAAAACCGACAAAATGTTGTAGCCAACAAGAAGAGTAGATATAATCAATTTTAGAATTAAACAATTGGATATTGAGGCATTCTTTCTCGTAAGGGGAAGAGTGAGCTTTGAGGCATAAGTCTCAAAATTAAACAATTAAATTAAGAAAAAAATATGAAAAAATAAGTATCATAATAGTATCAAAGTAAGATCATCAAATGTCCAAATAATATAATTAAAAGTTATACAATACTACAAGGACGAAATAAAAAAAATATCTTACCCAATTAAACATAAACAAATAGTCTCTAATGATTATAACTTATGAATTCAAAAATTTGCCCCACTCTCATCACTTAGAGTGTCAACATTAGATCAGCACTGTAATTAATCTCTTTTTATTTTCTTTCATACTAGAAGTAAGAAAATGGGTTACTGATAAAAAAGACAAGAGATTGAAGAAATTCCAGTGGCACAGCAAAATGAAGTGTGGGCTAGAGGGTGATGCAACCTGTAACTTTGAATTCGAGGCCATGCGGTTCTTCCCGAGTTAGTTTTGGTTTAGGAAAACAAATAGGTTTAATTTGATATATAATTTTTTAAAATTAAAATTTTAAAATTAAATAAATCCTAATCTTCTAAGCTTCAAAATTACATGCCTCAATCCCACTAAAACATGTCTTATCTAGCAAAGATGAAATTCCCTCATCGCCACTTGTTCAAAATCTCATTGAGCCATACCTCTAATTGCAAAATTTAAACCATGGTTAGAATTCATGGTCAAGATTAGGAACAAACGGATTAAAAGTAGCTTGTATAAAAGTTGAGCAAAAAGACTTGTGAGATAGATAGAACAGCTTGTGTAGACTTTTATAGGATATAAAGAAAGTGGAATAAATCAACCACAAATAGTTAAGGATTAAGATAATGATGATATCCATTCATTTTAAGTTGTTTTCCAAAAAAAACCATGAATAAAATAAAACTATTGTCTACTAAATTAATTTTAGTACAGAAATAAAAGTGTAAATCTCGATGCCCAGACTTTCAAATAATTCAAAGTATAAACACTCGAATCAGGCACCTTCTTAACTGCTACATGACATGAAAGTAGAGTATGTGAAATGGATCTGGCGATATTCAACACAAAAACAACAAATTCTTGTGCAGTTACAAAACAACATAGACAATTTTTCTTAATTTCTTACATATCAACAAAGAAGTATCTCCCACAAAAAATTAATCTTTCGGACGTCATGAAAACTGGGTGAGTTCAGAGATATACACTGACCTTGGACAATAATTTACCACACGAAGTGACTGGATTTGTAAGTACAACAGGCCTTTTTACAGCTTCAGGAAGATACCTTGGCAATGTTGCACCAAATCTAGCACTCATGCCTACTATTTCAGGACACTCAATGCCATCTAACCAACTCTTTACTTTGACCTGAAAAGTAGAATTTGCATGATTAGAAGCCAATATTTATAGAAGAAAGTAAAGACATAAATATTTATATTTCTCTAAACATTAAAATGATAATATCTAATTATCAACTGTTGATAAAAATGAAGCTTATCTAGTAGGTATGTGCAAACATAAATTGGTTATATCATAGAACTTTTTGTTTTCCATCTAAAACTAAAGGCACAAGTGAAATGTGTTTGTTCTATCTACATATACACCAGATGGAAAGAAAATGATTATGAGAGAACTGCAGCAACCAGCATCCATCAATATTGTTGATTGTTGTATTTTTTTTGTAACGCCCAAATTTTGAGAAAACGAGTAAGTTCAACAGATTCTAAAAGTAAGCCAAAGATTTTTATCTCTCGGAATTCGATCGAAATAATTTTATTAAATTTTGTGAATAAATCGATCAAATCGACATAAAGCACCATGTTCCATACTTCTGAATATGTAATCAAAATGCAATGTATCATATATGTTACGATGATCCAGCAAGACTAATCATCACCCACAGTGCCCTGATTATTAAAGTCAGAATAGTGTTGGTGAGAGTTGGTCTGACGAAATTGCCAGCCTCCATCGCACCTCAGCCGACCTCTTAAAAAGGGGGTCAGTTAGGGTGTGACAGTTTTAGCTACAGAACAATAAAATTAAAATTAAATAAGCTAGTTATGAATATTCATTAAGATTTCAAAGAGCAAGATGACATATTTCCTTTCAAAAGCATTAAGGCATGACAATTAACAAAGTTAAAGGATATTTGGTCGGCTGAATCTGCCTTTTGTTTTGGCTAATGTCTCGGGCTGTCAAAACGGCTCATTGTTCGTGAATAGTTTGTGTTCGGCTAGTTAAGAAGCTCGTGTTCGATTTGTTCGCTAACTTAACGAGTCACACACTGTTGACCTTATTTTTAGTGAGGTGTTGGTTTCTTTCTCCTAGAGCCTAGGATCTAGCCTTAGAACTTTCCTATTGAACATCCTAAAGGACTAGTAATGGAGCCCACCATACATAGAACTTCAAGCCACTCTTGACCCATTTTTGTGAGGATCTCACATGAGTGGTCCCAAACACTCAACTTTTATTTGCAATGGCAAATAACCAAAATGTGGAGGGCCCAAAAATGAGTCTCCACAGAATTTAAAGGCCCTTTTGACCTTGAACGGCTTGCTCACACATATCCACTTCACCGTGCGCGATGTAAACGTAAATTGGCCCGATCACCGACAAGCTTGTTCAGAAAACTCCGGATAACGAAACGGACTGCACGAGCGTGGCTGGAACGTCAATTTTACCCAAAAAGGACACTCATATTGTTACGGTTCATCGCACGAGCAAACGACATGAAAATCGATGCGTATAAAGATTTAATTAAAGGAAGCGAGTTCAAGCTCAGCCCAAGTTCAATTCGAGCTGAACACGGCCTAATTGCACCAGGTTGAGACAATAATGCGGTTCGTAATTTGAGTTTTCAAATTTCAAATTAACAACCGCTCAAACTCCTTTAATTGAATTTAATCAAGCATTATTCACATTCCAATCCCGCAGAGCATGAATGAAACAAATTAATCGCCCGCCCTCCCAATTTAGCGTAATGTCTCCTTCAAAAATTCGAGTATACAAAAATTGTGCCTCATCCCTTCCTAGCATTCGTCCTCCCCCTTTCTCACGACCATATCCTAACTCCCTCTCCATCGAGACTCTCCTGCTCGAGACTCTCCCGCTCGCCTCTCCCTGACATTCGACCTCCCTCTTCCTCACGACTAAACCGCCACTTCCCTCTTCCTCTCTAGATCAAAGCCGAACAATCGCTTGCCTCCCTCCTCTCTTACACCGAACAGCCCCTAGCCGAACCCATAGAGGAAGGAAAGCCTGTCCGCTAGTTGTACGTGGGAAGGCAACAACGATACCGCTATACAAATTATATACATCAATCTTCTCGTTGCTCCTGCTCCTTTTACTATGCTCCTAACTGAAACCCTTGACTAAGGTAAGCCATTTCGTTGGACATAATAGATTAAATTCCGCTGAGGCTTTGGGAGTAGAATTTGTAGCAAGTTAACTAGTTTGAGACTCCAATTATTTGATCATTTTGACTCCGATTATTATTTGAGGATGTTGAGCTGATATTTGATGAACTTCATCATAGTGGTGATTTCAAGATAAAGTTTATGTTATTCCCTTCCAATCCCATTTGACGTCACAAAACTGATTTCAACGTGTGGTATATTTGAATTATACGCCACAGCAAAATCCCGTGCATCTAGTGAGAGTACTTCTGAATGATGGTAAGATTTTGCCAGCTACATGTTCACTATTACTCGATTTTAACTGCGGATTATTATTTCTAGATCACTTTAGAGGAATTCTCTACCTTCTGTAATGTTGTTGCTCTAAAATCTATCGTTTCAGACGCTGCTAATAATATAAATGTTACAAGGATTGCTTACGATTGCTTATTGCTTACTAACACTTCACAATTTAATGCAACCTTCTCGCTTTGAGAATAATCCATTGTTTTATCATTCACGTCAATGTGAAAAGTTGAAAGCTTTTGTTCATAGCCCTACGTTTGGATACATTATAGCTTTTTCTCTAGTGCTGAAACTAAGCATTGTTATCATTGAAACAGTCATACGATTAAAATTTTTATATTAAACCATATTTTTTGAATTCCTATATATTTTATTTGTCTTTTATAATTTTCTTACCTCTGGTTATTTAATCCTACCTCATTCATTTGCATCATAATATTTGTTTCACTTGAATTTACCTTCTAGGTTCCTCTTTTGAAGCAATTTATGCACTGTCTTGGGTTGGATAAATGCAGAATTTGGAGCCCTTAAACACAATTTTTTTTTTTTTTTTGTTACACATTGTTTTTGGGGTTGAATAAATACTGATTTTGGAGCCTTTAAACACTTTGTTTTGAGCCGATCATACACTTTTTTGGGTTAAATAAATGCTGATTTTGGAGCCTTTAAACATTTTTTTTTTTTTTGGGTCAGTTGTACGCTGTTTTTGGGGTTGGATAAATGCTGATTTTAGAGCTTTTAAACACAGTTTTTTGGGCTGGTTACACACTGTTTTTGATGTTGAATAAATGTTGATTTTGGAGCCTTTAAACAATGGTTTTGTTGGCTTTTGGCCCACTATTTTGGAGTTACAGTTGGGCCTTTTTTTCTTATGGTTTGGAGTTAGTTTTGCGAACTTTTGACCACTGTTTTAGAGCTGCTATCGGGGCTTTTGCTTACGGTTTGGAGTTGTTCTTGTCGGGTCTTCGCCTATTGCTTTGGGTTTTACTTGATTGTTATTTTGGGAAGATTTAAATATTTTTTATGCTGTCTCACTTACTTTTTTGCCCCTTTGCTTTGATGAATTTTGGAAGTGGGTCGGCCTTTTCTTTTTTCCAGCTCTTTCATTTTCTTTTTCCTTTCTTTCTTGTTCGATGATGTGGCCCTATATGTTTATACCGAGATATAAGTGTGTATAGTATAGCAATAAGTGGATCATCGAGTGGGCTGTAAGTTAGACGGTTCGGGGTTTAATGGTTGTGATGACAAAGACGTCGGCCAATATTGATCCTCTGGCATAGAGACCTGGTGAGAATGCAGGACGACAATATTATTCACCGATATTAGACTAGTGATGACCCCTGCTTTCTTAGGATGCCGGTGGTTCTAGCCCGACATTGCAATCAACTATTGAACAATCAAATTTACAAAATATATAAATGCAATGATAAAAAAAAATACATTCTTTACAACATCAACCCTTTTGATTGTTAAATAAAAATCTATTTTGCTCACATGCATGATAAATCATAAACTTTGAATGATACATTTTAAACGTCCACTTATCAATTACTTGTACTAAGTCAAGAATTGTTCTCATTTGATTGTCTTGTTGGAAAATTCTAATTAAATATCGGTTTATACAAGTAGATGACGATGGTTGCCTAAGAAGTCTTTCGAGAATGACAAATCTGAGTCTACCCCGAGCCTGAATTCTTACAGTCCCCGCTTCGATTCCATGTGTGTCACCCAGTTCGCTCTACATACTTGTGTTTTCTTTATGTTGTTATTTAATTCTTTTTACATATATGCATGATATGTTTATAATATTAACCCTTTTGCAGAAGCAGCAGACACGCCAAGTACGCAGGTTTGTCTTGTATTTACTGCAATTTACCGTTTTTACTGCACCTACTATTTTTCTTTACTGAACTTTTATTGTTCTTTCATCCTTGTGTTTGCTTATAAAACTTGCAAAGACCTTTAGGGTAATGAACAGTAGGTTGGTTGTTTAGGAGGTAAACTGCGACGAACCATCGATCAGACAAATTTGTATGCTCACACATAAAGCCCTAAACCCGAAGTTGCTACGTTGCGGAGCTCGGAGCAAGCTTGGTGGGCAACACGACGAGGAGGCAGGCAAGTGTAGAATAATTTCAAGAGACTCAGCACACTGCTCCAACTAAATCATTCCTTAGGTTTAAACAAACAACAATTCATAGGACTTCAATGTAGCTCGTCCAGCGTGACGTAAATTCTCACGCCCTCGTTGTACATATATGAATGATATGTTTGTAATGCTAACCCTTTTGTAGCAGCAGCAGACACGTCAGGTACGCAAGTTTATCTTATATTTACTACATTTTACCGTCTTTACTGCAACTACTACTTTTATTTACTGAACATTTATTGTTCTTTCATCATCGTGTTTGCTTATAAAACTTGCAAAGAGCTTTAGGATAGACAACAGTAGGCTGGTTGTTTAGGAGGTACACTGCGACGGGTCACCGATCAAACAAATTTGCATTGCTCACACATAAACCCCTAAACCCTGAGTCGCTATGTTATGGAGCTCGGAGCAGGCTTGGTGAGCAGCACGACGAGAAGGCAAGCAAGTGTACAACAATTTCAAGAGACTCAGTACATGAACGGATCTGCTCCAACAAAATCAATCCTTAGGTTTAAACA